TCCCCCCCCGCCTCTTCTTGCGGCTGCAGAGGAACCGAGGGATGAGTGCTCCCCCGCCCAGAGGCTGGTGGCTGCGCAGGAACCGGGGAGGCTAATTTCCCCTCCCCCCCCACCCCATAAATTAGCAAATATACCCCCGGCACAGAAAAATCTCGTATACCTTGCAGGTTATACTCATGCACGGGGTATACAAGATTTTTTTTTTTTTTTACTCAAACAGCTAAAACCCACGGGGTATATTCGCTAAATTATGGTAGTGATGCAACTAGTCGCTTCCCCCCGTTCCTCCCTCTATCAGAGAGAGAGCGAGCCCAGTGGGGCTCTTGTACATTTCAAAAGCAGAAGCCCTGCAGGGAGCTCCGCATAGACCTCACGCTCCCTGGGGGGCAGAGGCACCCTTATTGAGTAATCAAATAGTCAATGGAAATCTCATCAACTATTTGATTAGTTAATTAATCTAAATTTAACCTCCCTAATACAGAGGCAGGAAGGGAGGGGAGTGATAAACCTAGGCTTATTGATTAATCTTGTAGTCGACTGCATGTTGACATCCCTAGTTGATACACATGTTGGAGTATGTTTGAATTTTCGTTGCTTTTAACAACTTGGACTGAGGGATTTTTTTCTAACACGTATTTCTTTATAGCATAGTATCCTGAGAACAGGACATGCATTTCCCAGCATGATTAATGGGAGTGACTCTGTACAACTAACTGAAAAATGAACCTATTCAGATGCTTTTGTGTATCCTGCTCTTTTACATTCTTTCCATCCTCTCATTGTTTATCTAAATCCACAAATTCAAAGTTTAAAAGAGAAACGTTATATCTAATATTTTCATCTGTTCATTGAAAACAGAGGAAAATGAGCCCCGGCCGAAAAACTAACTGTATGCACAGGTGGCTAATGTGAAATTCTTACTCCTCATCTAAAGTAAATTATAATGTAGTTAGCACTTGATAGAAATTAATAAGCACTCATTTGTTTATTGCCAAGAAATGTAAGAATCCAAGGAAATTTTTTAAAAATACTGCTCTATTTAAAACTTGAATTAGGTGAGCATTGCCAGTAATGTTGTCTTAAAAACTCCAGATTGGTTCTGTAAGTGGTAGCACATTTTGGCTTATTTCTATTACCAATGAACTAGACTAAAGCTAAGAAGCAGGTATTTTGGTACCTTGGACACTGCAGTAAGAAAAAATGATTTTTTTTCCACACCACTGTAATATCAGTGGTGACAAGCCTCAATACAAGCAGGAAATGCAAAACTGAATGGACTGATACCACCACATGGGGGCATTTGGTTTGTTCATTAGCACGTTCAGCTTTTTCTCAAGCCGGGCTACCAGCAGTAACGCGAGAACATTTTTAGAAGTGAGGGTGATGAGCCCCCTAATGGCTGTCAACCCGCACCCCAGCTTTGATTGGGAGCAAAGCCCCGGGCCAGCAGCAGAGGCCCCCCAGCCTGTGGACTCGAACCAAAATGCCAGCACATGGGGCTGGCAGCAAAATGCCAGCACATGGGGTTGGCAGCAGAGCGCCTGCTGCACAAGGTGGTAGGGGTGGGCAGCACCCCCCATACTTCTAGTTCCTGCACCTATGGCTACAGGCTGTGGCAGCGTAACTGCACTGAAGAGTGTATTTTTAAAAATTAGGCAAAGTAACAAATTTCTTCATGGTCTTAATTTGAGAAGCTCAGTGCACCACTAAACTGTGTGCTTTCCCAGGTTTTGGAAAGTGCTACAATTGGGCAGAATAAAGAGAAGCTAGTAAAAACATGATTCAGGAGATAGACTGACACGTCTTACTTATGAAACTTTCAGGTATTAAGAAAGGAAAGTTAATAATTTCGTTAGATGGGAAACCACATTACTTGACTCTATGCCTGAACCACAAAATTGAACAGTTGCGCAGGAGCACTGTGGGTTGAATTTGATGAGTAATACACTCTTTTCCAATCGAAGTATAAAGAAATTGTTAAATGAACTAATTTAATAATGATGGGTTTTGTCATATTGATAGGAAACTAATTGGCAATGACACAACACAGTGAAGGATGAATTAAAACAAAAAAACCCATAAGACTGACCAGCAAACTAGTGTTAATAATGAACTTGAATGAAAAGGTTTTAATATTAAGCATTGTGCTCCTGTATTAAACAAGCTATCAAATCTAGAAATCTTTCATGGAAGTTAAATGCAAGGGTTTTTAACTGTGTTTTGGTCAGATATTTAGGAAAACTTGTGAATCTAACAAAGATATTTAATTTAAGACTTTTTTGAGCAGGAGACTTGGCTTTGCATTTTTATCATCATGTGGATACAAGTGCAAGACAGACTTTTGAATCCAATACATATTACCTCATTTAACTCTGTACTTACAGTGTAAAACAACTCTGCACTGTTACTAAGCATGAGTGGATCTTGCTCTTTAGTATTGAATTATGCAGATTTCTAGTACAAGGTATTCCTTCAGCCCATTGACATGTCTTACTACCTCTCCTAATCCAAGCACCTGTACTAGTTCCTCTGAGCTTTATTTAACTTTGAAAAGTGGGAGTGATTGTGGGCAATTTTGTTTTAAAATACAAAGGAAAATGACAGGAAAATGTGATACAGCATTAGTGGCCCTGAATTTGTGTTGTTAAATCATGTACTAAATACTACATACATTGACAGAAATCAGAATTCTTGAACGTGAATGGCCAATTTTTAGCAGATCTCTTTAAAAGTTTTACAAAGTAAGCAAGCATTCCTCCTACTCCTGTACATGTTATCATTTTAGGTAGCACATCAAAGGTCTGGTTAAAAGAGTGTGTGCTGCTGTTGACCACATGCAATAATAGTGATTGGTAAATATGGCTTTGAAGGAGTGGATTTGTAATAACATAATAGAGAGAGAATTGCAAACTAATATTTTGCTGCGCATGTATATTTTACAAACCCATTTCGAGATTTCTATATATCCTTCCTTATAGTTGATGTAAATTAATGTATCTCTTATTTATAAAAATGGAAGTTTTAGGAGTTGGTTTATATGAAATACAACTGAGGTAAGCAGGTTATTTTGCATTTTGGTGACATTCTCCTTGGGCATGACTAAACAAAAATAGAATGAATGATGCAGAAAGCATCCTTCAGTCTTTATGCAGGTAAAATCCTTTTTAAAATCCTGTAAGAGTTTCCTTGAAGAAAGACAAAAGAACGGGGTTAGAAGTCTTGATATTTCATTTAAACACCATGTGGAGAGCATCAGATTTCTTAACTTTTATCTCGGCTATTATCTAGTTTAATTTTTAATTGTCATATTGTTTTATTATGTCAGTTAAGTGCCCATCTTCTCTTTTTTTAATTCCAGACAAATATGAAAGAGAAGCTAGTAAATACTGGAATGAATTTTACAAGATTCATAAGAATAATTTTTTCAGGGATCGTAATTGGTTGTTTCTGGAGTTTCCCGAAATTCTTCCAAAAGGAAGAAAAGATCAGATGAATACAGAGGAAAAATTTTGGGACCATGCAAAACTGAATGCTACAAACAATTGCACAAATATGAGCTTTCCTAGAATGTTTGAAGTTGGCAAAGACTATTGCCAGAATAATTTGGTGGATGATTTAACTTCTATACAAGGACTTGCATACAACAAAAACCAAGCAGAACCTGTTGCTGACAACAAACACATTAAGAATTGTGAACAAGAACCTGTGAAGCAAGAATCCTTTCCTGGCAGTGGTGCTACTTACAGAATACTAGAGGTACTTTACTGCAGATATTCAACGCATAATTTACAACGCCAAATGATGGCTTCAAATATAGTGGTTGCTTAGTAATGATCAAGGTAACAGGTATTCAGAGCTCATAACAGTACTTTTGACTTGTACCTGAAATTTTCAGAGGCACCCAAGAAAGATGCCCAGTTCCCATTGAAAGTTGTTGGGAGCTGTGCTCCTAAGCAATGTTCCCTGTAATTTTTTTCCATCCAGTTGCAGAATACATTTTGTTATGTGCACGCATGCAGATGTGCACCATCAAAAGAAAGTCATGCTGTTGGCTGTAGGTGCTCTGGTAATTCGCTGGGTGGCATTTGAATCTCTCCTGGGTGGCTCCCAACCACACAGCTTACAGAGAATGTTGCACCTAATTCCCTTAGGCCTGTCTGAAAATCCCAGTCTAAAATATTTTTTCACTCTAAACCAGTGCTTTGTGACAGAATAGCAAAATTATACAACAAAACTGTACAATTTCCTGTGCAACTGCCTCTGGGAGAAGAATCTTTTCATGGGAGAGATTGTAGAACCAAATCCTGGCCCATGAGAATAGCAGAAGAGTTAGTGCTTCTGAGAGTTGTGGTTTAAGGAGCAACAAAGTAATTTTACTCCTTTTTGCCTCTTTAACAATTGTAAAAGTTTCAGTTAATTTGGGACTAACCCTCTGAGATATAGCCTTTATCTGAAGGCTTAGTGTTCATTTTTGTTTCTGTTTTAATTCCAGGTTGGTTGTGGTGCTGGAAACAGTGCTTTTCCTATTTTGAAAGTTATGTGGTAAGCAATGACAGCCCCACATGCCCAATATTAATGAAAAAAATTAAACTGGTCTTATACTGTGGGAAATGCTGGATTGACAGTGTTGGACACCAGAGCCTTCTAGTGACCCACAGAACAGGGCCAATATGGGCAGTAGCAGTCGTACAAGTTGCTCCCCGTGCTTCTGAGCCAGAGCTTCGATTTTAGAAAGGAAGACCTCTGGGCTATGTCTACTACATCCCTTTTTCGTAAAAGGGATGTAAATTAGATGTATCGCAATTGCTAATGAAGCGGGGATTTAAATCTCCCCCGCTTCATTAGCATAAAAATGGCTGCCACTTTTTTTCCCCACACAGAGCTTTGCTGGAAAAAAGCACCAGTCTAGACTCTGATTTTGCGGAAAATAAAGCCTTTTCCGAAAGATCCCTTATTTCAAGAGGGATAAGGGATCTTTCGGAAAAGATTTTATTTTCCAAAAGATCAGTGTCTAAACTGGCACTTTTCTCCGGCAAAGCTCCGTGCCGAAAAAAAGTGGCAGCCATTTTTATGCTAATGAAGCGGGGGAGATTTAAATCCCCGCTTCATTAGCAATTGCGATATGTCTAATTTACATCCCTTTTACGAAAAAGGGATGTAGTGTAGACGTAGCCCTGGTGTTGAGGTGGTAGGTGAGTCATCAGGCTCATGCACACCAATGTGTCTGTCACTTGTGGTGTTAGCTTGGGTGTTTACAGCAGTCCAATGGGGACTGGACTGAGATCACCAATACTTGTCATATAGATGACTGAATTGCCATCACATAATATCCAAATTCAGAGGCAATAGAAATGATAGTGAATATTAACCACAGTGGCAAGAAGTTGTGAGTACTGTCTTTGACTCCTTATGTCTAGGGCCCTACCATGTTCATGGTCTACTTTAGTTAATTTCATGGCAATAGGGTATTTAAAATAGTAAATTACAAAATTTCAGGTATTTAAATCTAAAATGTCACCGTGTTGTAATTGTAGAGCTCCTGCCCCAAAAAGGAGCTGTGGGGGGTATTAAGGCCATTGTAGGGGGAGTTGCAGTACTGCTTTTCTTTCTTCTGCACTGCTGTGGGCAGCAGCACTGTTTTCAGAGCTGGGCAGCTGGAGAGTGGAGGCTACTGGCTGGGAGGCCGGTTCTGAAGGCAGAGCCATTACTAGCACCAGCGCAGAGAAAGGATGGCATGGTGTGGTATTGCCACCTTTACTTCTCCACTGCTGCCTGCAGAGCTGGACCCTCAGTCAGCAGCCGCCATTCTCCATCCACTCAGCTCTGAAGGCAGAAGTCAGCATGGCAATACTGTACTGTACCATGCCATCCTTAGGAGCAGCACAGAAGTAAGGATAGCATGGCATGGTATTACCACCCTGGCTGCCACTGTTCCCTGGCTGCCCAGCTCTTAAGGCAGAAGTAAGAGTGGCAATATTGCAACCCTTCCCCCTAAAATAAACTTGTGACCCCCTGCAAGTCCATTTTGGGTCAGGACCCTCAATTTGAGAAACACTGTTCTCCTCCATGAATTATTTATAGTGTAGGTTAAAATCACACCAAATTTCAGAGAGGAGATCAGATTTCATGGTCTTAATGCATTTTTCATGGCTTTGAATTTGATAGGATCTTACTTACGTCACTTCTGAATTTGGCCCATATTATCAATCAAAGTAGCTTGAGTTTTAATGACACAGAGAGACAAATCCCCCAAATCTCCAGTCCATTCCATCCACTTAGCTTTTGTCTTTGGAAGGAAGTGCTGTGAGAGAACGTTCTCCTTCCCGTGCACATGCTTCGCTTTCACTAAAAACAATGTCCGCACGTCGGGGAAGGGATGGACTCTCTTCTGCTTTTATCTCTGAAGCTTGTGTGCAACACACAAATTGTTCTTCTGCAGTAGGGATGTTAGGAAGTGAGTAATTAGATAAATGTGTAGTCAATAGAATTTCTAACAACTACGTGATTAGTCACTAAGTATGTCTACACTACAAAGTTAATTCGAACTAACGAACGTTAGTTCGAATTAACTTTGATAGGCACTACACTAGTGCTCCGCTAGTTCGAACTTAATTCGAACTAGCGGAGCGCTTAGTTCGAACTAGGTAAACCTCATTGTACGAGGACTAAGCCTAGTTCGAACTTACTAGTTCGAATTAAGGGCTGTGTAGCCCCTTAATTCGAACTAGTGGGAGGCTAGCCCTCTCCAGCCTTCCACAAACTTTGGGCAGGGACATCACTCCTACCCCCTGGCTAATACCACTCCATGGACCCAACCTCCATGACTTTATCTCACTTCTCTTTAAACTCTGTTCTAGTTCTAGCCTTCACAGCCTCCTGCAGCAAGGAGTTCCACAGGTGGACTCTTTGCTCTGTGAAGAACAACTTTCTGTTACTAGTTTGAAGCCTGCTACCCATTCCTTTCCTTTGGTGTCCTCTAGTCCTTCTATTATGGGAACGAATGAAGAACTTTTCTTTATGCACCCTCTCCACCCCACTCATGCTTTTATAGACCTCTATCCTATCCCCCCTCAGTCTCCTCTTTTCTAAACTGAAAAGTCCCAGTCTCTTTAGCCTCTCTTCATATGGGACCTGTTCCAAACCTCTGATCATTGTAGTTGCCCTCCCCTCTCCCACCCTCTCTCTTCCCCTCTCCCACCTCCTTTTCCCAGTCTCCCCAAGTTTTGTTCAATAAAGAGAGATTCTATTTTTGAACACAATTGTCCTTTATTTTGTACATCAGGAAGGGGGGCTAGAGAAGGGTAAGTGGAAGGAGGTGAGGGAGGAATGGGGTACGAGCCCCCGATGGGGAGGACTGGGCTGGCTCT